CAAGGCTTGGGGACCCCAGAATGTGCATTGGGTTACTACTGGAGTCTAACCAGCTAAAACTGCATCGCTTCATATTGATATTGCAAGCTTTCCCGCTGCTTATCCAGCTAGGACCACCCTACTGGTTAGGGCCTTGGCTTGCAGGGTTAACACGAGTTAAGTGGGATGACTCCCTGCACCCAGTGACTGTCTGTCCTTCCAGGTCCTGCCAATGAGCCATCGCTCCTGTGCTGTGATTAGCAGTGCCATGGAATACTGCAGACCCGCCTGGCTCAGGAACCCACTTCCGAGACTGCCACAGAGGGCTGACTGGATTCTGACATTCCATTGCCAGGAATGTCACCTTCGAGCCAGTTCAGCTCCAAGGAGACCTGCTTACCTCCCCCCAAGGAGGATAATGTGGTGAACAAAAAACATTTGAGGAAGATTAAGTAAGACATCTCAGTTCCTCTTGTATTGTTGTGTCAGGGGTAGTGGCCTGCTGGACCACATTATGAGCAGGCCTAAATTCTACAAAATTCTTGATTCCTCCCATCAAGGCAACTTATTTTTCATGTCCAAATTAGGGGAGTATTTGAGTAAGAGGAAGGACTATTAAGCAGCAACTTTCGGTGTTGATAGATCTTTCCTTTGTATCTCCTTTAAGCCCAAACGCATGTCTGAATGTATGCAGTGAGATTATAAAAATGCTTTTTACCCACATTTACTTAAGGTGTGTTTTTTTCAGGAATTTTCATTGGGGTCTAAAACAGACAGTTTCCAACGTGATTCCTTAAGGGTCATCCAAATGGTGTTGGGAAGTACATCAGAAACTCATCTGACTCGATCCATTTTTAGAGCAGAGATCCCTTGGATCAATTCTGGTGGAAGTATTTGCTATTAGAAATTGCAGCATTTTAGCCCTCTGTATTTGTATTTGCTGTAATTGGTTTTAAGGGTGACTGAACATTCCTGATTCTGTTAGCCTTGAGCCTTTATCTGAGTTGGGATCTCTGCATGTATGCTGTACTGGGAGCATAAATTGTTCCTTTAGACTTTTCACCCCATGAAGATCACTGAACTATAGCGTTGATCACGCCTGCACGCCATGCTTCTCCCTCTTCAGTTTTGCCGAAATCCACTTTATAAAATAATTAAGCTTGACTACAAAATGAAAGAAAATTTATGCGCTGCATATAGTTTGCAGTTTATTATCCAAATGAAATACAGTAACAGGGATTATGGTAGCACTGGATCAACAGATTTTGGAGAGAGAAAACTGCAGCCATGTCAAACGTAAGAAAAATAATAATCCTTGCATTTGGTAAAGTGCCTTATCATGTCGTTAAGTCGTTTCACAGAATATATTGTAAAGTGAATCGACTGTTTTATGGATGAAACAAAGCAGCCAATAACAAAATAAAGCTTCTGTGAAATAGTGTGGTACAGGATCCTGTAAAAGACACACAAAGCAAAATCTTGTTTGTAAAAATGGCTCGACTTCTGTAAAGAGAGAAATGGATAATCATTCCTCTGTCCATTGCACAAGCTTGTAAACTGTTCAAATTGACCTGCTTCAGTTCTGGTTTTGTTTACTACCAATAGCTTTGGCTCCTCGCTCAGATTGATCAAAGTTCAGCAACAATTGTCACAATCGCACTACCAGCATGTTAGGCAAAAGAGTGGCTTGCACGGCAAGTTAACTTGACAGCCAATATAATAATAATAATAATAATCCTTGCATTTGATATAGCGCTTTTCACGTCGGGAGGAGTGAGGAAACTTGCCCGAGGTTTCGCCCTCTGCCTGGAACTGAACTCAGGTCTCTCACTTGCAAAGCGAGTGCTCTAAGCACTGAGCTACAGGACTCCACACCAGCATGTATTAGTTATATATAGTACGAGGTTGAGTCGATCTCAATTATTGTGCGAAGTGGTGTCCACACATTACAGTATGCAATTAGTGGAGTCCTATAGTGTATTGGTTAGAGTACTCGCCTCACAGGCCTGTAGCAAGGCAAGTATTCTAACAACAACAGCTGGCTCTTACATAACCCCTTCCACGCAGGGCAGCATCTCAGAGCACTTAAAAAACCCTTGTCAGGCGAATTCTCTAACCAATACGCCACAGGAGTCCTGTAGTGTGAACTAATACGCTAAAAGAGTGCACTACAGAAGTCCTGTAGTGTGGAGTCCTGTAGCGAATTGATTAGAGCATTTGCCTCGGAAGCAAGAGGACCTGGGTTCGATTCCCAGACAAAACTTGCTAGGCAAGTTTCCTTTCTCCACACATCTCTGTTAACCTAGCAGTAAGTAAGAACCCGGTTGTTAGTCGATTGGCAAATCGCTTTCTGGGAGTAATAATCCCTTCAAACAAACAAATAAATACATAAATAAAAATGCATTAACAGTTGTGGATTGGTCCCACTGTTTGTGGGACACTGCTATGCAAAATTGGCCTCAGCTTTTCGCCCACAAAATATACAGTCAATTCACTTCACTGTATATTCTGTGAAGCGCCTTAAGATGTCTCGAAGATGTGATAAGGGCCTCTATCAAATGCAAAGATTATTATTAGAATTGTCATGGCCTCTTTTTTTGCCCCATTTAAAGTTCAGTGCTGCTCTGCGGGAGAAAAGTAGTGGTTTAGCAACCAGACATCTCTGCAATATTTATGTTGAGCTGCACAGTCTCACCTTTTGTACCATTTTTGCTAAACAAAAGGAATTAGCTCTTCAGAAGAGTCTTAAATCAGAGTTGTTGATCCCATTTAACAGCACCCCTTACCTCGCGAGACCGCCTTCTCTTGGGCTTAGCGGAGAGCATAGATGGCACCCTAACAATAATATTTGGTCTGCGAAGAGATTTGTAGGATTTCTGCACCTGTGTTGCCATAGCAACATAAGTTTGTTTCAAATTCCTTCATGAATGTACGATTATAAATATGACAAAAATCAATTTAAAATGCTGTTTTAAATGCATGATATAATGGGGTACGGCCAGAGGTAAGATGTAAATGTCCATACGGGTAACACTGACCCATAATCTCCTTTTTCATCCTGGTCACCTTAAGGAGAAAATGTTCTCTCTCTTTCTCTCTCCCCGTTTTACAGTTGACCTCAATCTATTCTGCGCCACTAATGTTAGAATTTTTAATCACTTCTAGTTCAGTCATTAGTTTTACTTTTCGGGGTCATAGGAGTGCATTCAATCATTCTGTCAGGGACTTTGCAGATATAAAAGGTATTAAGAGACTTGGCTCTGCAACAAAACAGATAATAAGCAGGTGGTACTGCAGATGCAGTTCTTTTTGATTTAACTGTGGCATGTTAGTTTAATAATAACAATAATCCCTCCAAAACCAAAACCAATAATAAATTGGTCATTTTCAATCTACGACTGTTTGTGGGACATTGCTGTGCGCAATTGGCTGCCGCGTTCGCCCACAAATATACAGTCAATTCACTTTACAGTGTGTTCTGTGAAGCGCTTTGGGACGTCCTCCCGACGTGAAAAGCGCTATATCAAATGCAAGGATTATTATTATTATTATTAGTTTCCGCAATGGCCTAATGGGTAAGCCATTGTCCAGTGTAGCATTAAGTCGTACATATCTACTGTCCGCTACTGGGTTATAAGACCATAAGTTTAAATCTGATCTCATTGCATCTCATCTGATTTCGTCCTTCCAGAACACCCACCTACATCCTCCCATCAATAGCATCAAACTGTTGTTTTTAAAATGAGTCCAGGGTCCTGTTCCAAGCATTAATTACCCTCTTGATAAAGAAAAACTTCTTGGTATTTATTCTGAAATTGCCCATTGCAACATTAAACTTGGGACCTCTTGTTCTACTGTCTTGGTGCATCCTAAAGTATTGTTTGCGGTTGAGTTTTTCAGTCCCATTTCAAATTTTATATACCTTTAAAAGATCCTCTCTGAGTCACCTTGGGACATTCTACAGACACGAAAGACTCTACATAAACGTAAATTTGTATTGTATTATTTTCACTCCAGGACAATAGTTGGGTGCTTTGATTGTTCTCAGTACCATCTGGTTTAGGTAGGGGAAAACTCATCTCTTAACTCTCTTGTGTCTCTTTCTTTCCTGCATTGTTGGAGGTGCTGTCCTTCAGATGAGATGTTTGGATTAGAGTTTATCACGATGTATTGGCCAACAATCCTCCAAATAAAATGTGTGACTCACTTCATGGCTATTTGTGAGACATTGCTGTACACAAAACTATCTGCCAAGCTCAACGACAAAATGCACATTCACTCCACTTTACAATATATCTATCCTGTGAAGTGCTTTGAGAAGTCCTGCCGATGTGAAAGGCGCTTTATCAAAAATAAGGATGATTATTATTATATAAAGTAGGTAGATTATTTTGTACCACCCTTTGGAATAAGATGTTAAACCAAGGTGAGCGTTAACAATGCATGGCGCTATCGAAAAGAGAAGGGAATATTCTGGCCAACATTCCCCCAAATATAATTGGTCATTCACTCCATAGCTGTTTGTGGGACATTGAAGTGCACAATTGGCTGCCACGTTTTGTCCACAATATACACAGGCAATCCACTTTACACTAAATCCTGTGAAGCATTTTGAGACGTCTCAACGACACGATAAAGCACTATATCAAGTGCAAGGATTATTATTATTATCATCATTATCCTTTGAGTGCAATTATTGCCTTTAATCATTTATTCATTGAAGTTCTGTACCTGTGATTAATAAAATGAGCCTATCCGCATTTGAAATATTATAAAGCATATTGGACATGGCGTCCAAACTGTAAACTGTTCGCTGGTTTCAGATGTTATAAACAGCCACAGGCTTTACAGTGATGGTTTATGGGGTCATCTGAACACCTTAATCAGATTACTGCCTTGTAATCCTTAGTATCCATTGATTGTTGATTTTTTAAATTCATTTTGGCACTCTTAATGTAATTTGATAAAGTTTGTAAAGTTATGCGCTTGGAGAGTAATTGTTCCTTTTTTTTTATCAACAGCTACTTGAAATTAACTGGACTGGACTAACCAATCTCCTTGACATCCCTGGGCTGAAGTAAGTGGCAAATCCTTTCAGTATTGTTTTCACAAAGGCTAATATTGCTCTATCAGTTAGTGGTATGTATGAGCCCGAGAAAGCCAGATTAGTGTAGAAAGTGGAGCAAATACTAGCTTAAACTAATGTGGGGTCACTGATTTGACCCAGTGGTGGGTGGAACAGCCAAGGGACCTGTTTGATACCATGTGAATGCAGGTTAAGAAAGATACTGCAGGTACTTTGGGCAATGAAAATGGAGTCAAAATAACAATAATCCTTGCATTTGATATAGCGCCTTATCATGCCTTCAAGACGTCTCAAAGTGTTTCACTGAATGTACTGTAAAGTGAATTAACTGTATATTTGTGGGCGAAACGCAGCAGCCAATTGCACACAGCAGTGTCCCACAAACAGTCGTGGATTGAATGACCAATTTATTATTATTATTATTGAAAGAATTATTATCCCCAGAAAAGCGATCCGCCAATCGACTAACAACCGGGTTCCTACTTACTGCTAGGTAAACAGGCGTGTGGAGTAAGGAAACTTGCCATACGTTTTGCCCTGCCGGGAATCGAACCCAGGTCTCTCGCTTGCGAGTCAAGTGCTCTAACCACTGAGCTACAAGATTCCACAGAATTTATCCAACTGGTCACCAATCGTAACTCTTCCTAAAGGATATTGACACTTTAATGATTACCTTGTAGGGATTTTACGACTGGCAATTCCCTCTGTGCAGCGCACATTTGTCTTATATTTTTAGTACATTGTTTTGCTCACCAAGGAGCAGGATCACAGGCTGGGAAACTAATTTTAACTTTCGATAGCAAAGGAATTCCACCTGGCCTAAGAATCGATGGTTCCTGTTTGTGTTGGATACTAAGGGAGGGTGCTTGGTGTGATTGTTGGATTGTGTAATTGGAGACCTAAACTAAAAGGGTGTTCTACACATTGTTTGTTGAGAACGTAACAGTTTGATGTAAGAGCAAGGAGGCCTGAAGAGTATGCTGTGGGGATTGACGATCTCATTTAGGAACATAGGAACAGAAGTAGACTATATGGTCCATCGAGCCTGTCCCACCACTTTCAAAGATCATGGCCGATCTACAATTCAATTCTACCTCCCGGCCCTCCCGCCATATCCACTGATATTCCTGTCTATCAAACATCACATTTTAAATTCTTCAATATACACTGTCAACACTGCCTTCTGGGAGAGTGAATTGCACACTCCCACCACCCACTTCATAGCTCGTGAATTGCGAACCAAATTTGTGCAGTAAAGATGACTTTTGAGTTCACAATTCATGATGTTTTGAGAAAAATGCCTTTTTTAAGGATGAGGAACATTACTAGTTTCCCCAAAATCCCTCTAAAGCAAATATTTAGTAACCTGGAGCTTTCTTCCATTTGTGGCCTATATTTGGAATTGAATTTGGGTTGTTAAATCTCTGGTTATTGCCTTTGTCAGCCTGGCTGAAATTGAGGACTCATTGGGTAGGAAATGGCAGACATCAGCCTGTATCTATGAGAACAGGCTCTCTTGAGTGCAGAGTTCTCAAGCTTCTTGTACACAGTGCAGTCAGAGATGCTTTCACCCATTGCCACTCGAAATAAAACAAATCCAGCTATTTCCTTTGACAAAGAGCGACACAGTGGATACTGTTTTGAATTCAAGATCTATTAAGACTTTGCAGCCTACAAAGCAGAAACTTCCCAATACACGGTTACCAGCTATAGAAGTCAGCCAGGAATTTAAAGTCAATTCTGTCTGGCGCCATTGACAGTATTTAGCATTTCACAGCAGAGATATCGATCAGGAGTGTGTTGATTTGGTGGTTGTTGCTGAGAGCCAACCTTTAAGTTTGTCACTGAGCTCTGGCCTGTGATCTGCAGAAACAGTAAAAATCGAGGGTATTGACATAACCACAATATAACTGCATGTTGCAGCTGATCTCAGTTGCATTAAAATAGTCACCTTTAACAAATTGGCTGATCTTTAGCTCTTCTCTATGTATATTTTCTGCAGAAAATGGTTGGAAGCAGTTCACTTAAAAGGATAATGTGCTTGTATGGAGCTGGTGGTTTATTTATGATAAATGGAATGATTTATGATAAAAGCAATTTAAAGCACCGAACTGACTGCACATTAAACAGGCAAAGTAATGTGGGATGGGCATGTTTGTACAGGGTGACCAAAACGTGGTGATACTATTGCAATGTCTAATACGATGTCTACAATGTCTTAAAGAAATTATGATTTTTTTAAATTATGATTTATTATCAGGCGTGTAGAGTAAGGAAACTTGCCCAAGGTTTTGCCCTGCCTGAAATTGAATCCAGGTGTCTCGCTTGCAAGGCGAGTGCTCTAACCACTGGACTACGGACTACACTATATAATGTACTATATAATGTGTGGTGGATTCTATACTATAACATACTATAAAATGGAGCGACTTTTAAGGGGGACCCAAAAGAAGTGTTTAAAATTATGAAGGGGTTCGATAAGGTTAGCATAAATGGACTGTTTGCATTGGTTGTGGAGTCTGTAATCGGGACCAAATATAAGATTGTGACTTGGTGATCTAAAAGAGAATTTAGGAGAACTATTTCATGCAGAGGGTAGTGAGATTGTGGCACTCTCTGCCTGAGGTGATCAGTTGAATCAGATAGTGGAGATGCATTCAAGAGAAACCTGGACATTTGGGGGAATAGAAGGATATGGGAGGGAGTAAGGAATGGGTGAAAACAGTGCAGATAAAACTTACTGAATACACAGTGGGTTCAAAAAAATAAACCTTGAATTTGATAGTCTTTCATGTTGCGGGAGCTTCTCAAAGTGCTACACAGGATTTACTTAAAATATAATAATAATAATCCTTGCATTTGATATAGCGCCTTATCAAATCTTCGAAACGCCTCAAAGCACTTCACAAAATATACTGTAAAGTAAATTGACTGCATATTTTGTGGGCGAAACGCAGCAGCCAATTGCGCACAGCAGTGTCCCACAGACAGTCGTGGATTGAAGTGACCAATTTATTATTTTTTATTTAAATATGGTGACTATATTTTGTAGGCAAATTCAACAGTCAATTTGCGCACAGCAGTGAACCCACAAACAGCAAAAAATGGCCATTTTTTATCTGGAGGATTGTTGACCAGAACTTTATGTTGTACTTTTGATGATAAGTACTGACCTCTGTATAAATTTCTTGCACCCTTTTATCACACAACTAATGAAAAGGCCCTTACTTAGGACAAGCCATTATTATTATATATTATTATTATTACTTAGGTCAAGCCAAGCCTTGTACTCAAAGTGCTTTGTTATCTTTATTTCTCAAGCATTATGAGCACAATCTCATTCCCATTCTTGGCACTGAACATTTATTAAAGCTGTACTGTGTATTAATCTCCATATAAAGGTTTATCTTTATCACACGTCGGGGCAAACAGGCTGAGGTGTGACAGGGGAGTAGTTTAAGCTGTTCTTGACAGCTTCTGCATCAGGCATGGATTCTACCCTGCACTGAAGCCACATGAGGAAAGATCATTCTGGAGCCCAAACATTCCACAAACATATATTTAATTTTGTTTTGAAATAGAAAAATAGTTTTCTTCAAATATTTTTGTTTTGCAAATAAACAACGTCCAGATCGCGACATGGACTGTATACAAATTGTCAGTATGAATTATTATGGCGGTAGTAGTAGTAGTATGCGAGCTCGCGGCTGTCTTATTGTTGACCCAGGCAGCATAGTTTAATGTTTCCTGTGTTTACCTCAGGGTAAGTATTGAATTGTTTGTGCAGTTTCCTCCCATCTATACTGGCAAACCTCCCTCGAGGTTACAGTTACAGTTTCTTTAAAAAATTAAGCATTCAACATTTATCACAGAATATATTTTGTTACCCTAGTTACATCTTCATAGATGGATGGCAACCATGGAAACCCATCTTTACGTGTAGAGAGCGGTAGTGGCAAGGACATTGCATCCTGTTTAGAAACCTTGCGATGCTATAATACAAATCAGTAGAATTTGTTTAATGCCTTTCACATCAATCTGTTTCACATCAAAACTGTTTGTGGGACAGTGCAATTGCCTGCAGCTTTTCGCCCACAAAATGTACATAAATTCAATTTACAGCACATTCTGTGAAGTGCTTTGAGACTTCTCAAAGACATGCTAAGGCACCATATCATCATTAGGACACGTTTCAAAGAGCTTAACACTCCTTTCTGGGTGGGGCAGGTGTGGTTGAAGTTGGTGGGGAGAGGATGGATGACTAAATAATGATAAGGTTGATATTTTTGAAGGATAAGAGCAAATAGATTGAACCTTTCTGCTGACTGAGATATCACGAAAGTACATGACGGCACAGCTCCTTTGAACTTTTTTTCTGGTAGATACGTGTAAACAATAAGTAAAGAGTATTTGTTCTTATGAATAACTGTGGTCAAATTGGCTGCCTCTTTAGAAGACTGATGGTGGAACTGCAGAATGTATTAGCAGCTCCAGTTGCATTATACCAGGCCTTTCTATAAGACAACGTAATGTCTTTAAACCCACAAAGTCTTCATACCTCACTCAACTGATTGGAATCTCACTAATAAGGTCAGCAAACAGACTGAAGAATTGTAACCACATTAGCAGGCTGACCTCACGACTGGGTTTGTATAATTATATAATTTGAAGTGGAAAAAAGACTGCAAGAACAACTGGCAAACAGTTAACCACATTAGTGAGAATGTATTAACTTCCAAAGTGTACTTCCTGTGTGAATGGCCTAGTCAGATCTCAGGCTGGTGTGTCAACCTGGCTCAGTTGGAAGCAGTCTCTCCCCTGAGTCATAAGGTTGGGGGTTCAAGCTCCATGTTAAGATTTAAAACTCACCTAGTCTTGACCAGGGTAGTCCAACTGATGGCCCATGGGCCACATCCGGTCCGGAGAATGATTTCATACAGCCAGTGAACCATTTCCTACTTCGACTGCCCACTCGCTTCCTCCCTGGCAAA